TTTCAAAAGCCCCTGTCACTTTCAATTCTCCCACTCAACTATCTTTCTAACTTCCTTCTCCTAAAACTCTGACTACCGTTCAGCAGAAACTAACAGTGCAATCTTAAGTAGAGTTACATCCTTCTAAATCTATGGAAGTCAGTTGGTTTAGAAGGGTGTAACACTGCTAAGGATTGCCTGGTATGTCTGGCAGCCTCTACCTAGATTCCCTTGGGTTTGGTTTGGCTGACTAAGGTTGGCTAGGCAGTTGAATTGATGCACAGTGAATCGTTGCCTTTTCAGATATTTCTCTTTTCTTAATAGGATTAAAGCTTTCTCCTAGCATCTTTATAATTCTTTTCTTTGTGATAGAAGTGTGCTGCGTTTCAGTGTCCTAAACTGTTCAGTATTTTCATTGCTAAAAGTGCAGCCCATTTAAAGGACAGAAAAACAAGTAAATACCAAAATCAGAAACAGTCTCTCTAGGACGTGGAAAACATCTCTCCTTATCTAAAAGTTACTTCACTTCCTACGCTGTTCTGATTATCACTAATGAATCAACTCCAGTTACATGGTGCTTTTCTTGTTATTTAATCTAGTGGTCAAAAAGTGCCTTTCACAGTTATTTATATCCTGAAGTTAACTGAAGATTTTTGTTTTCTGGATGCTAGGAGTAAATGGTAAAATAGCAAAGCAGTTTTGCTGTCCTACATTTGTTATCAGTTTAAGTGTTTGTGACTGTTCAGTATCAGATACAAGGTATCGGACTTATGTTGTTTTCATAATTATTTATTTATTCATTCATTCATTCATTTTACACACTACCTTTCTCACAGTGAACGATGATCTTTAATGTGTACCCTCATTGAGTAGCCTTTTATAACTGGAGGAATTAAAGCTGATGAAATGAGCAGTGACTCATGAAAGCTCATACCTTACCTCAAATTTTCTTAGTGTTTAAGGTGCTACTGGACTCTTACTCTTTTCTACTGGAGCAAATAAGTGGTTTAAAGTATGTGGTATTTTACTTTTAAGACAAAGAGTGAATGAACATAAAATAATTTTGTCCTCCCGACTTGATGAAAATAGCTAGGACTGGTACAGGAAGTAACTTAGGGGTGTGGTTCTGTACCAGCCAGTTCAGTGGTTTGACAAATAAAATCATGTTCTTCCAGGTAGCCAGAAATGAGGTCTCAAAAGCAAATAAATGCCACATTCTGCCAAGTTTCACCCATGGTATGATGGGTTCCACTTCTGGCTTGCCAGAGTTTTCCAGGCTCCTCTTGCCCTTGCTCTTCCCCAGTGAAAACCCCCCACCTAAATGACGATTTCTTTTGAAATCAGAAATTGGAAACCCTAAATAACCGGTTCAAAAGGATGCTTCCCTTTTCTCTTGATCTTACCAAGGATATATTAATTAAATCGAATAACTTTATATTTTTCAGTACTTGAAATGTTCTCCCTGTCTACTTTCCATTTTCTGTACTGCAGACTTTCCATTAGAGAGAAAAAATAGCCTATGGGTCCTTAAGAAAAAAGATTGTGGGGCAGGACGACCTCTCTCTTCTGTTTTGCTGAATCACGGCTTTTGAAATGTACGAGGGTTTCTGCATTTCTTTCTCAACTCTAATTTCAGATGTGAAATTGAAATGCTTCCTGATATTTTGCTTCTCTGTGCCTGTCTGTAACAAAGGAAGTTACTGCACCAGTTAGCTTCGGCAATCAAGCATACCGTCTGTGGGCTCAATTATATCGGCTCTTGCTTTTGGCTTGCAATTATAGTGCTATTGGCAGCCTTCTACAGGAGTTCCCCACTTTTCAGATGAAAGCAAAAAATATATATATAATCAAACATTTTTGAAGCCTACGGTAGTAACGTGATCGAAGTGCAGTACCAAGATTTCTCTTCTTTGAAAAACATACAGTACAAGCTGCTTCTCATATTTGTTTTAAATCAATAGTTTCATTTTACTTGGTTTGATGAGTAGCTACAAACAGTTATTAAAAGTTCTAGTCTTTCAGTGTATGGAAAGAGGCAGGATTCATTTAAGCAGATTTATAGTAAGGAGTTAAATAAAATAATGATGGCTTGCTGTGATCTGGTTTCCTTTAAACGCAAAACAAGTTAAGGCAGGTTCAAGGCAAAATTCTCCAATCTTGTATGTTTCACATGGTAGCGCTTCAAATCTTTTACATTTTGGTATTTGTTAATATTCAAAATAGTTTATTATGACCTGCCTTGTCTCAAGATTTCATTCCATTTTTAAAAGTGTTTTACTGTACACCTACACGGGCACCTAGTAAAGTGATGCAGCTGGGGTTCTACACACAGAAGAGCAGACTGTTCATATTCCTAGGATGATCGAGATTCACATGTACTAGCAGCTTCTGCATATCCAGCTCCTTTCTTCAGTCTAACAGCCTTTTTGAGTGGGAGGAGGGAGCTGAAATCCTGCTCTTTGGCTGGTGCTAATTTGGGTTCAGAATCAACCATCTTCTTTCTTTGCCAACACATGATCGGTAGGTTTTTAGCTAGTTCAAATACAGACAACTCCAGATGCTCCACACTTAATTCTTACAGTGTAGGTGTCCATATTAACAACTTTATGACAATGTGTTCACATTCTGCATGAAAAGAACTGCATCAATAAACTGCATCAAAGTAAATGTATAGCTTATGAAATGCATGCATTCTTCTACTTCTAGTGAATTTTTACTTGCTTTCGGCAGTAACAGGGCTGTTGTAAGAACTGAGTATGAATATCTTAATGTGAGACTAACTGGAATTTTATTAATATACAGAAAAACATATTGGATAATAAAGATACCCAGGCCTATGAGGACATGATGCAAGGACACTTACTAGGATTTGGGGTAATCAAGTGGAAGGCAACGACTAAGCATAGATTTCATGCAAAATGTTGCACTGTTGTTGGTTTTTTAAAGACTGAGAATGGGTTACACAGGCATGGTGCACAATTAAAAATATCTCTGTGTGTGCAGGAAAAATACAAATTGAGGAGATCTTCCCCCTTCTCTCCCACCACCACTACTTCACAAAAGCAGAAAACTGCTATATGTCAACAGCAGCTGGCTGTTAAACTTTATATAATTCTGTTGTGTGGATTTAGAATGATATAGCCAGAACTGAATAGAAGAGGACATTATCACACAGATGGAAGTGAGGACAAATACCATTTTAATTTGGCGAACCTGGCCAGGCTTGTTGAAGATAGGGAGTTATACAAAGTTCTCAGCCTCATTATCTGACAATATTGCCTGAATGTTTGTAGATGTGTATAAGGGAAAATATTAGTGATTTGGCTACAAAAATACTTACAAAGAGAATTTTGAAATCCTGTTGTGGCTTTCACTCAGAATGAGTTTCCCCCCCCCTCTGTTTTAAGAAAGTGCTGTGTACTGTTTGACAGGCATTTTAATTTTTCTTTGGCCTAGCTGACTAAATTGGAATGATTTTTCCTTATATTAGTTGTAAAATACCAGCTGTTACTCTGTTTTTGCTTTAAGTTGTTGTTGTTGTTGTCCAGTCGCACAGTCGAGTCCGACTCTTCGCGACCCCATGGACCAGCTCCCGCCAGGCCCCTCCTGTCTTCCGCCGTCCTCTGAAGTTTGCTCAATTTCATGTTGGTTGCATCTATGACACTGTCTAACCATCTCATCCTTTGCCGTCCCCGTCTTCTTTGACCTTCAATCTTTCCCAGCATCAGGGTCTTCTCCAGTGAGTGCTCCCTTCTCATTTGGTGGCCAAAGTATTTGAGCTTCAGTTTCATTATCTGGCCTTCCAGGGAACAGTCAGGGTTGATTTCTTTTAGGATTGACTGATTTGATCTTCTTGCAGTTATTATTAAGTTATTAGCAAAGTTTGTTATGACCAGCACTGGGTTTTGCCAGTACTCATATGTAAAATTCCCCAGATTTCCAACAATTCCCCACTTAGGACATGAGAGAGCCCCCCCCCCGTCCCCGGTGCTGGTGCTCGGTACCAATGAGTACCACCATGAAAAAGCCCTGGTTATAACCTATATAATTAAGATGGGCCTCTTCCATTAAATACCCATAGCATCTACAGACTTCCAGAAAGCTCGTGGGGAAGATGCCATTAAACCTTAGAAGTTCCTGTCAATTCCCAGAATAAGGAGTTGAACCAGGCAGTTGGCATGATTGCTCCCACTGCATAGATCTGAAATCACAAGTTGCTTCCTGGGGAATTTCTGGAGAGGAAATTGTTGGAACAGTATAACTGGTGGAATACTAAGGCCCACTTAGACCCCATTTTAAAGTTTTATTTCTTTGCAGTACTGATTGTAAAGACATCTTGCTTCTCTGCCAGCATTACATCTACAAGGTACAGTCAAACAAAGCTAATTCCACATAGGTTACAGTGCAATCCAAAGAACATTTTTCTGGGAGGAAGTCTTCCCCCCAAATAAACCTGCATAGGATCTTGCATAGATTGTTCCCTGCACCTCTAGTACAGAATCCCACAGAACCATCAGCAGTAGCCCACTGTGACAAGTCCATTTATAATAAAATTGCTTTCATCCATTATGTCTTGGATGTTAGTTTGCGTAGATGAGTTTCAGTTGATTTCACCTGAGAATGCAGAAAAGGTACTTGGAGAAATCTTTGCCCTGTTGACCCTTTTGGCTGGTGACATCTAGCAGTGGCAAGTTGGTCAATTGCTAGTTTGGTGATAAATAATGTTTAATTAAGGTTGTCTGCCAGGCACTTTGAAGCAAGTAGTTGTTAGGCCCCTTCTTAAGAAGAAGCCATCTTCTGATTCTGCATAATTACATGCTTCTCTCTGACATGCAGTTTAGAGGCAACAAAGGGTGATGGCTGAACAACTCTGGGTTGCTGTTGGATGAAGTTGGTTATATGGATTGATCTCAATCTATCTTTTGTCAAGTTTTGCATTAGAAACTGTGTTGTTTATCCAAACAGTTGACATACTGGGAGAACGATATCAACTGTGTTGACTTTCCTGGTTTTCTTGGCAGCTTTTTATATCATTGACTATGATATCTTTCTGGCTTGCCTCTCAGAGTTGGAGTATTGCTTTCTACTGAAGATAGACTTCAGGAAGTATTGGCTTCGTTTTTCTCATGAGACTTATCATGTGGGATCCCTCAAGGTTCAAATTTGTCTCCTGTGCTGTTTTTACATCTACATGCAGCTGCTATGAGAGGTCGTCCAAAGTTATGGGACAAAGAATATTCAATACAGTGTTACATATCACTGTGGGGAGGGGATCTTCTTCCCCCCCCCCAGCAATATATTATTACCTGTTAATTACTCAGCTTGTATTGCTATTATCCCTTTGGTATCTATTTCCACTTTCAATTTATTTGAATTTATTACATTGTAGGTTCTTCTGGCACATGACTCTGCATTACAGTAGCAGCATGCGATAAACATACAAAAATTCTATTCCCATTCTATTGCTGTAATGTTTAAAGGAACCCTTGGTATCATTATATGTAATTCTGAACATGGTCCTAGATATGGATCATTAAATCTGCAAATTAGGGTTGTGTCCAAAGAAGGGGGATTTTTCTGTGAATTTGGGGAACCCAGAGCATTTCAGAAAATTTCAAAGAAGGGGTATGGGGAATTTCTTAAAATCTTTAAGTTCACCTTATCAGAAAAAAACAGCTGCCATTTTGAGTGTTGCTTAGCAACTCCATTAAATAGGCATCCAGCCACAGTAAAGGAAGGGGAAGGCCACTACAGGAGCTACACAGGCTGGGAATAAAGTGAGGGATGGATGAATGGGTGGAGGGAAGAAAGTAAGAGATGGCTCAGAAGGAGCAGGCAGCAGTGGGGAAGCTGAAAACAAAGAACCCTGCCCAGACACATGAGCGAGCAAGCTGGGCAAGTGGTGGTAGAGGCAGGAAGGGTGGAGGCAGCGCAAGTGAACAAGTCAGGCTGCAGCCATAGGGGCAGAGGAGAAAGACAGGCCACATAAGCAGTAAGAGGAGGTAGTGGGAAAGCAAGAAAGGAAGGGGGAAACTACAGGAGGAAGTAGGGACCTTCCATACTAATTCCTTGCGGTTCTTGCTTGTACAGTTATAATTAAATTAATGAACTTCTCTGGGTTTCATTTTGAATTAGTTCAGTTTAAACAAGTTAACTTGGGCTTGATTTCCGTTGTTGTGGGAATTGGGGAACTAAACAGTTATGCTCTTCTAAGTCCATAAGCTTAAATTTATTTATTTATTTCATTTCATTTATACCCCGCCCTCCCCACACGCGGACTCAGGGAGGCTTACATAAGCACAAAGTGCTACAGAGGTAAAACAGGTTAAAAACAGTTAAAACTAATTCACATCCAACAGGATACATGAGAGACTATAAACACACTACTCCCCATTGCATATCAGGAGGGGATCAAAAAGGGGGGGACGCCATGGGCCATGATGTTCCAGATGACCAATCGGCCCGACCCGGCGATACTGCTCTGCTGTTGCACGGTGGTGGTTGTGGTGGTGGCGGCTCCTACTCAAAAGCCTGGCGGAAGAGCTCCATCTTGCAGACCCTGTGGAACTGTAAAAGGTCCCGCAGGGCCCTTATCTCTTCCGGGAGCTCATTCCACCAGGTAGGAGCCGCCACCGAAAAGGACCTGGCCCTTGTGGTAGCAAGCCTGGCCTCTTTAGGGCCCAGGGTCACCAGGTGGTGTTGTGACCCCGACCGAAGTGCTCTTTGGGGCTTGTGTGGGGAAAGGTGGTCCCTCAGGTATGCCGGACCCTGGCCATGTAGGGCTTTAAAGGTAAGCACCAGCACTTTGAAGCGAATCTGGTACGCTATAGGCAGCCAGCGTGTAACTGTGAAGATGGCAGTGTAACTATGCAATCCTCTGCAGAAGTTATTCCAGTATAAGGAATATTGATTCCAATAGTCATACTGGAGTAACTCTACATTGGGTTTCCATATTATTCTCCTATGTCTGCTGGTGGCCCTGGATACTCTAGGGCCAGCTCCTAGGCCCTGACAAGAGTTCTTCCCATTGCCACTATAAAAATTTGTATGAGAAAGGGAAGGGGGTGGTAGTAGTTGTGAGAGGAACCAAGATGGGTTTTAACCAATTACAAGCTGGACCCGATTTTCTAAGATGGCTGAGTTTAACTTCTAATGGATTGAGTGTGGTATATTTAAAACTCTGAGAATTTGGTTTTTAACACATGTTCTTCTTCCAGGCATTGGCAGCATTACTCTTTATAATTCTCCCCAAGAATTCAAGAGCATGCCTCTACCCTCTGATTGTGTAGAATCTTGTATTTCTTATTTCACCAAACACTAGAAAGCATGAGTTTTCTTTCTCTGCAAACACAAGTTGTATAAACCTTGAGAATTTCCAAATAAACGGCAACGCACTTCTGCGCTGTATGATGTATCTCATCAGATGTCAGCAAGCTGCCAAATGTTCTTTTCATTGTGTATGTACTCTGGTTACCTTCCTACAGATCATACCTAGAGAAAATGTATCCCGTTACTTTCAAGGTGTTGCTGTTTTTTTAATAATTGGTAGGGATGAAAATGGGTTTGAGAACAAGGAAACCATATTTTTTTTGTTTCATATCTTATTCTGTTTAATTTCTTTGCAATAAAATGAAGCTGTATGTACAGGTCAGTAGGTTTATGCATAGTGAATTCATTATGGCTTCCCAGATGCTCATATTTAACTAGTAATGATATTCCTGAAAGCAGTAGTTCATTCAAAGGTTATCTCCTTAATTAATGGCTTTTTAAACTAGTTACTACTTTCAGCTTAGTTTAGTGATTTTTATAGTCTACTAGATAAATTTACCATATAGTTTCCTGGTAGGCAATTTGAGGTAACCATACTATATTCAGTGTCTAATACAAAAGTCTGCCTTTACTGGGTCCATAATTTGTGGGTCTAATTCATACATGCATATACATCACTTGATAGCTGAGAGTCAAAAAGTGCATGTTGCTTCCATCAAACTCTCAGTTCAGAAACAAACTTTTATGTAAACTGAGAACTTTTATGTAAACTGCCCCCCCCCCGCATTGCTATATAGATGGCTAAACAGATCCTTACGATCCTTCCCATCAAAAAATGGAATTATAAATTATGTAAATGCCTGGTACATGCATGCTGCCATTTGCTTGGTTGCAGCATACTCATTCCTATTATATGGGCCTGCTCCTGTCAAGTATCTGAATAAGCCCATTGTTTTGAGTTGACATCAGATGATATGAAAGGTCTCCCTGTAGTAGATTGATCTGTGATGGGTCATTTACATATGCAAGTCATCATTTGGCACTACAGTCAACATGGGTGAAAGTAAGGCAATACAAGCCAGTACTGAGTACCGGTAATTACCATCTTCTGCTTTGAGCCCCCTGAGAGAGAGTACTAGTAAGAAATCTAAGTTACTTTTACCCCTGAGTTAACAATGTGTAAGTGTGAACTGGACATTGCTATAATACTAGTTGGAACATACATTGTCATGCAAGTCCAGAAAGAGGCACTTAAGACTTACTGGGTATTACTGTTGAAAGTTAAATTAAAATATTTGGATTTCAATTCATTTAGACCTGTTGCTTTTATTTTCATTTCTTTTCTGTTTAGAAAATTTGTATGCTGCCTCTCCAGGCCTGCTGACGAAGGCTCATTACAATAAAACAAGAAGAAGAATAAGAGATTGGATTAATACCCCGCCTTTCACTACCCAAAGGTGTCTCAGAGCAGCTTACAAACTCCTTTCCCTTCCCCTTCCCACAACAGACACCCTGTGAGGTAGGTGGGGCTGAGAGAGCTCTTGACAGAAACTGCTCTTTTTCAAGAACAGCTCTTATCAGAACTACGGCTTGACCCAGGTCATCTATCCAGGTGCAAGTGGAGGAGTGGGGAATCAAACCCAGTTCTCCCAGATTAGAGTCCGCGCACTTAACCACTACACCAAACAAAGCATACAACAATAAAAACAAATCATAGCAATAATAAAACAACCCTAGTCAATAATAAATTAAAAACAACAACTAAAAGCCAAGCTAACACATAAAGGCATACAAACAGGGGGGAACGCGGGGGAACATAGTTCCCCCGGGTGAGGTACAGGGGGCGGGGCACATGATGAAGCCCCGCCCCCCGCTTCCGGCCCTCATTCTCTCATGGGGCTCGGCAGTGGAGCTGCAAGGCCGGCACCGGCAGCCGGGACCGTTGGGGGCGGTGTGTGTGTGGCTTTATGACACATTTCCGGTGATGTCAGGAGGTGTGGCCTTATGACACACTTCCGGTGATGTCAGGGGGTGTGTCATATGCTAATGAGTTATGCTAATGAGTTCCCCTAGCTCTTTTTCTACGAAATGACCCCTGCATACAAACATCAGCAAAGTCTAAAATGATATTACCAAAACAGTCCTCAGGCTAGGAGCAGGCCAAAACCCAACTTAAAAAGATGGAACCTCTTATATAAAAACTTGGGTGAAGATAAATGTTCTCTCTCAAAGGGAGAACACTCTAGTATGCTTGGATTCCTCTTCCCACAATCCCTAGAGGCAGGAAATTGATTGCCCTTTCCCCCCCCCGGGGGGGGGGGTACCCATCCTCAGTCTTTTTCCTGCCTCTGCCTGCGAGAGCAGTGGATTTAGAGAGCTCCTGAGATTTTCCTTTAAGGAGTTCCTTTGGTTGCACTTTTGTTCTTCTCTTTCCTCATGTGTGCTTTTCCCTTTGTTTAAAAAACACAGTTTGTTCTTCTGGTCTCGTCTTCCCTGCTGCTTCAGTCATGACGGTGTCTGAAGCTGAGGTCTCCAATCATGGGACCTTCTCCGAGGGAGAGTTGGGGGAGGAGATCCCCAGGCAGCAGAGTAGGAAATCCCAGCAATCCCGCTTGCCCAGCCATTCTGCTGTGGCAGAGCTCCTGGAGGGCACCATAGGCCACAAATTGCCTGGCTTGGATCATGAAGAAGCAGGCTCGATTTTTGGTGTCTGTCATAAGAATGCACCTGTAGCACTTGTCAGTCTAAACTAACCCTGTATAATGTGTTACCTGAACCTCTAGGTTCGTAATGGTCTGGTGAGTGCCCCTTACCAAGGCGGGTAGAATGTTAAAAGAAAGTTAGTTGGAATGCAATACAAGGTTATTTAAACAATAAAACTGTTTATTAGCTAAAGACAAGCAAGGAATACAAAAAAGAATAAACAGTCAGTGGTTA